AATACAAGGAGATATCTTTTGCTAGTTTTCAGCTTTATATTTGTATTTTGGCCTCTACTGTGAGATGTCTACATGTTTTAATGTTCAAAAAGCTCTTTATTTTTGTCATACTCCCTGAGCCGCAGCACCTCTTTTCACCCTCTGTCTGAAACCAGAGCCCATGCTGCTCTGACTAATCAAACATTTGTAGATGTCCCACCCCTTAGCCAATCAAGGGGTTGGAGCTCTAGTCAATAGAAGCGTGAGTGTTACACAGTGATTTCACTATGTTACAGGAGTAAACAGGAAGTCCAATGGAGACGTTTCAGGCAGTGGGGGAGAGAACCTCCCTCTGGAGGGAACATAGAGATTTTAGCGTCTGCAAGAAATGTAATTAGAATTCTTAATTTGTATGCTTACTCGGAGAGAGTCATGCTTACGTCTGTCCTATTTTCATGAACAGAATATCTCAGGAATGCCTATAGGGAATTCCTTTAAATGTGGCACAATCATCATCTTTGGCTCAAGGATGGACTAATTGGACACAGTTGCTAGCCTGTTAGCCATGGGGCAACTTTCGCCAACAACTTCTAAAAAAAAACAGTTTAGTCAGGGTTAGGGTTACGGAAGGACAGGTCTCAGTTAGTTACACTTGTTTTGAGAAGACTTTACAACTACAGGAGTCTAAATCATTAGATTATCATACATTTTATAAGAAAAATCATCCTAGAGTGTATGTTTAGCATAATTATATTAGCAACAGTTAAAAAACAGTAAATGTTAGTATGAGTTGGACCATGTAAAAACATAGAGATGGATAATGAAGAATACACAGGGTGTCCGCAGGGACTTAAAAAGTATTAAAAGTTAATAAATCAATTTAGCAAAAATGAAGGCTATTAACACTAGAACCGCCAGAGGTCGCTGTATACCTAAAACCGCCAACGGGTAAAATATACCCGCTATTGATTTTCAAGGTACAATTTTCTTTTATTTATCTTACAGAACAGTGAGTTTTGATCGCACAGGGATGAAACTTATACCAATAGAATCTGTGGACTCTCAGCTTTTCATATGATATAGTTTGTGCAGATAACATGAAGTATAAAATATCGCTAAGAGTGCTGATTTAAACGCTTGGTGTTAGACTTGTGTTTTGTTTAGGTACAAATCTCTCTATCTATAACTATCTATCGATCTGTTTGTAATGTTCTGTTCAATGGACATATAATTGTCTACATAAACAGACGACGCGGACTACTTCTCTCATTCCGAGTGTCCATCTTTATTCAACTGGCACGTAACCTGCACACATGCATTACGTCCTCAACGTGAGCTCAGTCATCCAAGATCTTGTATTCTCCAAGATGTTACACTATCTATAACTATCTATCTGTCTATCTCTCTCTCTATCCATCTATCAATATATCTATCTATCTACTGTATCTCTCTCTCTCTCTCTCTAAATCTCTCTCTATCTATAAGGAACCGCAGTAGACAAAAGGCGTTGCTATAGCAACACGTCATGTTTACATATTTACCTCATAGAAAATGCAGCGTAAACATGACGTGTTGCTATAGCAACGCCTTTTGTCTACTGCGGTTCCTTATAGATAGAGAGAGATTTAGAGAGAGAGAGAGAGAGATACAGTAGATAGNTATTGAAGCTTGAACATGTATCCTGTGAGTGATGGTTGTGTTGGAGAGAAAACCAGTTGTAGTTTGGGGCAGAAGGAAACTTTATCTTTTCAGATTTCTAGTAAATAATATAAAGAGATATATAGCTCCAACAATAGGCGTAACATTTGCCTGCAGCCAGTCATCGGGTAGATTTCCTGTTTGCAGTGACTGCGTGAATACGCACTTGAGCAGTGGGCCTATTTGGGGGGCCAGCATTTTGAGTATACGATTGGGTAGACCATCTGGGCCGCTAGCCTTGTTAATCTTAATATTTGCCAGTAGTTTGGTCACTCCTTCAGTCGTGATGATCAGGTCTTCTATCTGCGGGGCTGGATCTCCTGATATAGAGGGCTGGCTACCATCATCCTTAGTAAATACAGATTTAAAAATTGTTTGTTGATGAGTTCAGCCTTGTCTTTGCTGCTACTGTAGAGGTCTTCACCCTCTCGAATAGGGGAGATTCCAATGTTGTCCGCTCCACACTCTTTGACATAATTCCAGAATAGTCTGGTTTTGTTTTCAGCAAGACTCTGGGTGAGTGTGTTTTCGATATAGTCCCAGTGTGCACTGCAAAGGTTAATTTGATTTGGTTTCTTTTGTTTGCGGAAGTTTTCCCAATCACGAGTTTTGCCTGATCGCTTGGCTTTGTTGTATAACTTATTTTTCTTTTTTAATTGCCGTTTCATGCAGTGAGTGAGCCAGGTCAGGTTGTGCCGTGTGGTAGTGAACTTGGTTGGGATATGCTTATCCATCTGTGAAAACAGTGTGTCTCGGAGCATATTCCAGTTGTCATTCACAGTTAGCTGGTTTTCTGTTGTAACTAATTCTGTGCTGTGCTAAAGGTGGAGGTACTTTTCTTACTTTATTGTCTACTGCTGGACATCTTTACATAGTTGATTTATTCATTTATTTATGTCTTATTAGCAAATAATCCTAAATTGCAAAGTTCCTAGTAACTCACTTAGTACAATATTGGCTTCCATATAGAAGTATAAAGTAGTATAAAATAAAAGTACTGAAGTAAAGTACTGCAAAATCGTACTTAGGTATAATACTTGATTAAATGTACTTCAATACGTAACACCACTGATAGTAGGATTGTAATTGCTAACTCCATAGACATATCAAAATCAGTTGTATTACCATTCCACAGAGGAGGAATTTGCTTTGGTATACGTGGTGCATTCAAAGAAATATGACCTAGAGCAGATGGGTTAGAGGAACAAAAAGGAGTAGCATGGAGGCTAAGTAACATGCTGCAGTGGCAAGGGGCAGCAGGGAAACATATTTGAGAAGACTTAAAATCTCAATTGAACTAGTTAACCTCACCCCTTATTGGAGTGGAACTGAAGCAGTTATTGATTCTCTCTTCAAGGAAACCAGTTCCCACTAACCAAAACAGTCATTTTACCACAAAGAACTCAGAAATGGTTTATGTTTACTGTTAGATAAAATAAGGCTTTTTGTCTGGTGGCTTTAAGAGAGCATAGGAAACGGCTCGATGCAGGCTTACGTGGAGAAAATATATGTAATGAAGCATACACTTTTCTTTTTTTTATGTGACTTTAGGTTAGGTGTCTACAATACATTTTGCTGTTGCCCTGTCCAAAGCAGTTTATTGTTTAGCTGCTTTACTGAAAGTTCTGTCTGTTTCCTCCAACTTGGTGACCCTTCAGACCCTCATGTATTACAGATCAGTGGTTCTCAACTGGTCAGGCCTCGGGACCCACTTTTTCCTTAGTCAATAGATCGCGACCCGAAATTTTGAACCACTCAAGTCTATTCAACAAAAAATCCTGCAGTAATATATACGCTTTGCAGCTTACAATATTAATTAAAGTGAAGTACAGTGCATATATCCCTTATATCCCTTCACAGAACTAAAGTATGCTTTTAAAAAAGGTTTAATGAGATGATGGAATCAAAGCTGAACTGTATCACATAAAAAGACACACATGCTGAAAACCCAACCCCAGCAGGGGGTCTGATGAGATTCTCCCCCAGGAGATTTTTTGAAATTCTAACAAACTACGCATTCTGGTACACTCTGAGAAGAAAATAAATAAATCTATTGCTACCCGACATATTAATAATATGTTACGCCATTGTTTGTTTTTCACTTTGTTCTGACAGCTGAACTTGCTGCTCCTCACAGAGAGAAGAGTAAAGAGGAGAGAGTCTGTGTGACTTACTTTAAATTGTGGGTAGCTCCCATTGTTCTGTGACCAGTCAATCATCAAACCGGGGGTCATATATCATTACGTGTTCATTTTTATCTGAAGTTGTACCCATGGATGTATAAAGAATAGTTCTACTACAAAGTTATTCTCCGTGGGGACTTCCGGCAACAAACTTGATTCTGATTGGCCAGAAGACTCGGGAAAAAATCAGCAAATATGTTTTATTGAGAAGATGATCACTACGTGACAGAAGTTTTCAAATCCGTCTCCGGTACTTTCAGTCCAACGCCAACTGCATGCACAGCGTTAGAAAATCGGGCCTTCAAAATAAAAGTTTGACTTTTCCCCCCCAAAAAAAAAGAAAAGAAAAAGGAATTAATTTTTTTTTCAATTTTCTTTTTTTTCACTCACATCTGCGAACCACTCGAAACGGGTCCGCGACCCACCAGTTGAGAACCACTGCTATAGATAATACATTACACTTAGTTTACACCATGCAGATACCAACACAAAAACCAATAATCCTGCAGTTACATTAGCTTTAATTAACCCACATTGGTGTTATTGCTACTGCATTGGCTTGTCAATTAACAATTAAACATTGTGAGTGAGTTGTACCTCATAGAACCTCAATTTAAAACATCTGAACCCTGGTTTTTTTTTAAATCAACACTTAAACTCACCTTTTCTCTCTGGCCTAGGCTTCTCTTATCAAGAATAACTTTTATCCAAGACCTTTTCCCTCTCTAACCTCTCAAAGTTTTATTAGAGGGAAACGGGTCTAAGGATAGAGGGTGTGGTTTTTTCTCATACTGATATTCTGAACAATCTGTGCTGTTGTATTTGCTGTAAAGTGTCTCTACTGTAGGCTATTTTTATTATATGTACAGCACTTTGGTTCGACCAAAAATCGTTTATAAATGTGCTTTATAAATAAACTTGATTTGATTTGAACCATCTCTAACCAATGTAATAAACAAAGCTTTAAAAACAAAACCAGCAGTGTATGAAATGTCATGTTTTCAAATAGTTATTTCAACATACAGTATATGTAGTAGATATAATTCCTCTATTCCTAGATACAATAAAGCTATGTAATTCTACTGAGAGTGAAATGTAGAACTGCATGATTTCCTCAAGATGTATGCTGTGCAGGTTTACCTCCGACAGGACAGGGCAGCATCTCTCCATCCAGCCTGGACTCCACGTCCCCCCCACTGCAGCTGTCTCCGGGGACCCTCCTGTAGCTGCAGCAACACAAACACGTTCCCTCAGTTGGACACTTGGTGGAGCTCTCACACAAAACAACATCACTGCTTTGTATATCAGTATCAAAAATGACAAAGGCTGCTTTGCATTCTGGGGAATTCTCAGGTAGAGAGATGATTGATGAAAAGTATGAAAGGTGATTACTGTTGATCCTAATTATCATAATAAAGCACAAGGTGAGGTTCACATTTGAACATATTGACCACAAGCCAACTGGATATATGAAGGAAAAACATGGTAAAACACAAATATGAACCTCGTACTTAAGATTGATCAAAGAAGACACTGGAGCTCATGTCCGTTCACTGACTGGTTTATTTTGGTGTTCTCCACACTTCTTTTTTAAAACTGTGAGCCATGTTCATCCCTCTGGATATGTTTGCACATTTCTAGATATCCGTACCTCTCTTAAAATCTGAACAGCCTCCACTTTAAAATATAATATACTGCAGTTTTTCACTTATTCCTTGTACTAAGTAGTTTTTTTGTTGTTGTATATGTTTATTTGGTGTTAATGTTCGTCTTTATTCTTTTGAAAGTGAAATAGTTTTCTAAATTATTTTCATTTTACATTTCCTTTTAAAGCATTACATTTATCTTTACAATCGTTATATTTCCTGTTTTAAATCATTGTATTTTTTATCTTCTCTTACAACTTATTTCCTTATGTTGTGTTGATGTTTGCATCACACTACTACACCAAAGCAAATTCTATCTTTTATCTATAGGTGTAGACGATTCACTTAGATTTTTCCCTTCAAGCTTAGGTGTCATTATTTTATGTTTTTATGCATTTATTATTGATAAATAAAGTGAACATTCACTAACACAGGTTTTTGAGTCCATCATGTAAATGTGTCAGATTTAACCACAAAGGCAAATGTTCATCTGTAGTCCCTGGCAGCTTGCTCCATTAACCTCTGTTCCACACAACACTCCTGTTACGGTACAACAGGTTTATGAACAAAACAAATGCTATTCATTGTTCTTGATTTTGCCTAATTAGGATTCAATGGGCATCAAGCCATTTATTTAGGGTCCATGACACACAAAAAAGGTGTTGGGAATAAAATTGGACAAAAGGTCCACACAACTCTAAAAGGAGAAAAAATAAATACAACTATAAATAAACAACTCATAGGCTTACTCATGTAAAAGGGAATGTAGTAGTGCTGCAGATGCCCACATTATGCTAATAGGCCACACAAAGAAATCTCACTCTGCACATTTGTAATAATACTGATAATAATACTGCTAAAAAATAATAGCAGCTTACCCTTTGCTGCGGCGGTAGGTGGTCCCGATAGGACACGGCACTGGGGGAGCGTAGAGGTCCCCCGAGAACTCGGGGTCGGGCACACACACCTGCAGGGACAAGTCTTCACTCAGCTTGAAGCCGTAGTCGCTGGAAGGAGGAGGAGGAGGAGGAGGAGGAGGAGGAGGATTGGTTGGGAGAGGGGAAAAGTTAGCGTGTGATTAAAGGCAGCACCTGATGTGCATCTTAAACAGACTCATGAGCGGTGATGGGAGCTCCAGGAGCAATACAAATGTGCAGAGCAGGCTTTGACCAACGTCTGGGTTTGCCAGGAGTGCAGTTTTATTGAAAGTCGGTGCCATCCAACACAGAGGTTCCACTTACATTACAGCTAATGATATAGATGTTTGATTTTTTTTACTCTTATGTCCGTTTATGCCAGATATTTTAATATGGTGTTGGAGGATCAGCTATATAGAACTGCAAATATGGGATTTGTATATAATATATATCTAATTGTATTATTATTATTATTATTATTATTATTATTATTATTATTATGTGGGTTTATCATCCATCTTGTTATATGAAATCTGTATAATATATATATATATATACTTTATTATCTTGTTTTGAATTTTTTATCTTAGTTTTAAAATTGCAAGTGTATTTACACAAATGAAGTGTATTATTATTATTGCCATTATTGTTAATGTATTTAATTCTTGAGTAAAATATCTATTTACCAATTAAAAAACTGTACCACATTAATAATAATTGAATAGAAGAGTTCTTCGTGACTGTTGATAAATGCATTTGCAGATTTGTTTAAAAAATACAGGTGTGTTCCTTTCTTAAAATCCCATCCCCTTACCGACATGATAAAAACGCCAATGTTTCCATTTCAGTGACTCATGAGACAAAGACAATACCTCCACTATGAACATTGATAATGAACATGCATGCTTTGGGCTGCTGTGTGTCCCTCACCATTCGTAGTCCTGGCGGGTGCAGGAGCAGTTAGCGATGGTGACGGGCCGGTCGAAGTCCTCTCCGTTGAAGCATGTAGCGTGTGGAGCGCGTCTCTTGAACGTCACCTCTCTGCCCAGCAGACATTCGTTACCATGCTCGTCTGACGGAGACCAGCGCTTGTAGTCCGCGTCCAAACATGGCACACCTGGAGAAAAGACAGAAGGGTACTGTAGATATTTGACATTCTCTGACTTAATTGCCGTTTAATACTTTTTAATACTTTTTAACACTAGAACCGCCAACGGGAACATTTTACCCGCAGCTGTTTTTTGATTGTATGTAACTTTTTTTCAATAACATATTAAAGTCTCCCAGTCCGTGACTTTTCCTGAAAGTGTGTTATGTAGCACCCTCTATTGTTAACAATTGTCAATATGA